AAAAAATACAGTTCCCATGATTCCCTAGCACTGAGCCAGGGCAGTTTAGTCTCAAAGATGCTCCAAGATCCCTTTGCATACTGATTTTCCAGACACATGACTAACACTCGTCCCTCCACATTTGTGGCTTTGACTTTTGCAGATTTGATTATTCACGGATTTTAATAATATGTTCTCTCTAGGAATCTCTAGTCCTCCAGCACAACTCTGTGGTCCGCTTTAACCAAAGGTCGCTCTGAAGGACCTAGAGATTCCTAGAGAGAACACTCCACCGGGCATCTGTAGCTCCTCCAGAACAATTCTGTGGTCAATGTCTGGCAGATATTGACCATAGAGTTGCACTGGGGGACCTAGAGATTCCAGTGTTTTTGTTACATGTGCCCCTAACCCCAGCAAATGTGAGGGATGAGTGTATAAGTTTACCCAATATAAGAAGTTTAATTATCTTTATATAGCTCTTCCATCTCCCCCCTTTATATCCATATAATACTTTGATATGTGAATGGCTTTTCAACTCAGGATAAATAAGGAGATATTAAAAGGCTACAATCCACAACACACTTTGTACATAGTCAACTAACTGGAACAAAAGCATTCCTTTCTGAACAAAAATTCACAGGATTGTGCTATATATTGTATTATGGCAAAGCTTAAGATGCCATGAGTTGGAAAAGCAAGGAATCAAAGCTAAAATGAAATACAGCGGGTCCTTGGTATCCATGGATGTTCAAGTCCCATTAAATACAATGGATAGTAAAATGTCCCTTATATATATAAAATAGCAAAATCAAGGTTTGCTTTTTGGAATTTTTGAATATTTTTACAAATATTTTCAAGCTGTGGATAGTTAAATCTGTGGATAAAGAACCCGTGGATACAGAGGGCCGACTGTATTCCTCTCGAAATAGTTTTAGGCTTGTGTTCTTTTCAGGTCTAAATCAACCTTGTTTTGCAGTTGGGTTCCTTTTAGCTCTTCAGAGGCAGCAAATGGCTGCCAGAGAGGCCTTGCTCTGGAGCAAGAGTTTCCTTTTAATCGTAGCCTGCACATATGGTGAATGTTTGGTAGATTTCCACAGTGAGCAGCCAAATTGGATAGGATATTCAGGAAGTTGCCTCTTTCAATCCTGGAATATGAAGAGGGTCAAAGAGAAATAACTCCTAACTTTTAACTCAGCCAAGCTATCCATGTGCCAAGGCTGGGTGACTATCAGAATGAAGGTGGTAATAACAACAGCAACAACAACATTTATTTACAGTTAGCCCTTTATAGCCATGGATTCCACCATCCATGGCTTGGAAATATTTTCTTAAAAAATCCAGAAAGCAAACCTTGATTTTGCCATTTTATATAAGGGACACCATTTTACTGTGCCATTGTATATAAGGGGACTTGAACATCTATGTATTTTGGTATTCACAGGGGTCCCCAAAACCAAACCTCAGTGGATAACAAGGACCTACTGCCCTTTCCATCAAAGAATGTGTATGTACAGTGTAAATCAGTTTTGAAATTCATTGAGTATGTTACTATTGGACTTGCACTGTCTCAAAAACTTCAGGATTTTTTTTGGTAAAAAATAAATAAATACAAATAAAGATTCCCCTTTTGCTCTTTGACCTACAGAAAGATCTTCCTGGTGGAGGAAAAGAGACCATTGGGTTGATGGTTAGTTTTGCAAGCTTTTAAAGGGGAACTTTACTTGTTTCTTCTTTGTTAAAATGCTTAGAAAAGTTTCTGGGATTACAGTCCAAAGCACACACCAGAAATAATCCAGTTTGAGACTGCTTTAACTGCCCTGGCTCAGTGCTAGGCAATCCTGGGAGCTGTAGTTTACTGTGGCACCAGAACTCCCTGACAGAAAAGGCTCAATGTTTCACAAAACTGCAAATCCTAGAATTCCCTAACACTGATGAGTCAGTCTCAAACTGGATTATTCTTTCAGTGTGTTTTGGACCCATAGCCCCCTGAATGTCCCATGCTGGCTGTGGGCTTGTGGGAGATGAGCTCCAAAAAGGTAGTTTTCCCAAGCTATGCTATAAAAAGGTGTAGTTGCCGGTTCTGATACTAGAACACATACAGCAATGTAAGGTGAATGTTAGAAAATAGGCATGAATGAACATGCTGGCTGTGCGTTATGGTAATTTTCCAACAATTTGAATTGTAAAATTCACTATTTATGCTGAATCAGATGCCCTAGGCCTTTTAGGGAATATTTTTGGGGATGAGTATGTACTATCTTCTTCTCTTTCATATCCCTTTGCTTTTTTAACCCAGGTCCCTTTTTGCAAAATTAAGGCTGCAATCCTATATATCCAGCCGTACCTTCCAGTGAACTCTGGTCCAAAACACATTGCAGAAATAATCCAGTTTGAGACTACTTTATTTGCCCTGGGCTCAGTGCTAGGGAATCCTGGGAGGTGTAGTTTATTGTGGCACCAGAACTTTCTGACAGAGAAGGCTCAATGTCTCACAAAACTGCAAATCCTAGAATTCCCTAGCACTGAGCCAGGGCAGGTAAAGCGGTCTCAAACTGGATTATTCCTGCAGTGTGTTTTGGACCTCTGTGGGGCTTACTTTTAAGTAGACCCATAAGTCTGTGAATCGCTTCCATACTAAGAGATGTAGGGTCTTTGCAGACTGCTAGAAATAGTGCAAATTGAGTCCACTTTAACAGCCCTGGCTCAGTTCTAGGGAATTATGGGAATTGTATTTTTTTCTGAGACTCTGAGCCTTCTCTGCCAGAGACCTCTGGTGCCACAATAAACTACAGTTCCCATTATTCCCTAGCACTGAGCCAGGGCAGTTAAAGTGACTCAATTTGCACTATTTCTGGCAGTCTGCAAAGGCCCGTACTGCCTTAACCAAGCTTTTCAATTTATTTCTTTATTTTTCCCAAAACCCACTAGTTTACAGGCTGTTCAACCTTATAAACTAGTATTTTGTTGTCATTGTTGTGTGCCTTCAAGTCATTTCTGACTTATGGCGACCCTAAGGCAAACCTATCATGGGGTTTTCTTGGCAAGATTTGTTCAGAGGGGGCTTGCCATTGCAATCCTCTGAGACTGAGAGAGTGTGACTGGTCCAGAGTCACCCAATGGGTTTCCATGGCTAAGCCTGGATTTGAACCCTGGTCTCCAGAGCCATATCCCAACACTCAAAACTACTAACCCAAGCTGGAGCAATCCCACAGAAGAAAGAAATCCCATAGTTAGAGAGCCAGTGTGGCAAAGTGGTTTGAGTGCTGGACTGTGACTTTGGAGATCAGGGTTCAAATTCCTGCTCAGCCATGGAAACCCACTGGGTGGGCAAGTCACACTTTGGGCAAGTCACACTCTCTCAGCCTCAGAGGAACGCAATGGCAAACCGCCTCTGAAGAAACCTAATGTTAGCCTGAGACCCAGTGTGGCGTAGTGGTTTGAACATTGGACTGTGGCTCTGGAGATCAGATTTCCATATTGGCCAAGGAAACCCACTGGATGACCTTGGGTTTCAAGTCACACTCTCTCAGCCTCAGGGGAAGGCCGTGGCAAACCTCCTCTGAACAAATTTTGCCAAGAAAATGCCATTATAGGGTTGCCTTAGGGTCCCCTTAGGTCAGAAACGACTTGAAGGCACAAAGCAACAACACTGTAAGATATTATTGTAATATTTACAGTGTAATATAGCTGTAAATGAACCATATGAATTGGATGTATCTTTTGTGGCAGTGTTTTTAGCTTTTCTTTGGGTATGTCTTTCATTTTTCTTGAATGTCCCATTTAGAGCATTTATATTTTATAGGAGTGCCTTTAGCTTTTCCTTGGTCCTCCATTTTTCTTCAAGGTCCTCAATTTTGAGCATGACTAGGAAGCCGGAATTTATATTTTATAGGAGTATTTTTACCTTTTGTTTTGGTCATGTCCTCCATTTTTCTTAAGGGCCCTCCATTTTGAGCACGACAAAGAAGCATGAATTTACATTTCTAGGAGTGTTTCGAGCTTTTATTTCTGTAACGTCCTCCATTTTCCTCGGAATGTCCTCCATTTCGAGGTCTCTTGTCCTCCTTTGCGGTGAGGACACATTTGGCCACAATTACCTCAGAAGAGAAAAGAGAGGAAAGGAGAACCAGCCTTAACTACCTGGCCAATGGGAAGCGCGGGCGGGTTGACAGACACTCCCGCCACCCACCCAGGTTCAAGAGTTTTTCCAAGGCCGCCTCCTCCATCTCAGCCAATGAGAGCGGAGGAGGAGAAGGCGGCGTGAAGGAATATTACTCCCCGCCCTTCCCGCTTTTGGAAGCCTTTGTCTCCTGGCCAATAGCGGCGCAGAGCGGGAGAGAGACTGCCGGCCTTTCCCGCGCCCGCCTCTCAGCCCTTGGCTGTGATTGGTCGGCCGAGGGTTCTGGCGCCAAATTCGAAAGGCATATAAAGGGGCGGAGAGAACCGGCGGCTGCATTTACTCTTGGCTCCCGTTTGTTTGCTCTAGCCTCCCGTTTCTCTCCACAGCCCAGTCGACCATGCTGGCCGCCCGCAACCCGCTCTCCGCTCGCAACGAGCAGCCGCCGCTGGGCAAATGCCACCTCTCGCCTCTGAAGAATTTGGCCCTGGACGACAAGGAGAACACGGTGGGAGAAGGGAAGGGAAGGGAAGGGAAGGGGGTCGGTGGGGCCGAAGGGACGGGAGTAGCTTCCCCAGAGAGGCAGCGGAGGGGGGTTTGGAGTACTGGCCTAGGGCTCTGGAGAGAGCAGGGTTCGAATCCCCGCCGGGGAAACGCACAAGGCAAGTCACACTCTCTCAGCCTCCTCAGAGGAAGGCAATGGCAACCCCTCTCTGAAAAATCTGGGCAAGAAACACCCATAATGTTGTTGTTTTGTGCCTTCAGGTCGTTTTTGACTTATCATAGGGTTTTCTTGGCAAGACTTGTTCAGAGGAAATTTGCCTTTGTCTCTTCCAGAGGCTGAGAGTGTGTTGTTTTGCCCAAGGCGACCCAGTGGGTTTCTATGGCCGAGCAGGGATTTGAACCCTGGTCTCCAGTGGGAGAACCCAACACTCAAACCACTACGCCATACTGGCTCCTAAACAGTAGCTACTACAAGTCTTTTCCTTGCTGATAGTCACACTCTCTCAGCCTCAGGGGAAGGTGATGGCAAACCATCTCTGAACAAATCTTGCCAAGAAAACCCCAGGATAGGGTCGCCATAAGTCAGAAAACGACTTGAAAGTACACAACAAAGTCATATTGCCGCATCCATTTCCAAAATGTATGTGGAGGCTGCATCTACACTGTGGAAATAATGTAACTTGGACCCCATTTTAACTAACTGCCATGGCTCCATCCTACAGAATCCTGAGACTTGTAGTTTTGTGAGGCGCCTAGAACTCTTTGTTGAGGAAGGCAAAAGACCTTGTAAAACTACAAATCCCAAGATTCCATAGGATGGAGCTGCAGCACTTAAAATGCTGCCAAACCATGATTTCTACAGTGTAGAAGGACCCCTAAAATACCAAAAAACCAAACCCTTTCTTGGCGCCTTAAAAACCCATCTACAGCCAAAGCAAGTGTTGGAAAACGCTTCTGTTAAAGTGGGCTGTGGTTCTTGGTTGTGGTTCTTGGTTGTGGTT